CCATGAACCTCCAAACGCGTGACCCTACTACCATGTCAGCCAGGAGACGATCTCTGCAACCTGACGCACAGCGTCTGCAGCCGCCTCTGCTTGTGCGCTCGAGGAGTAGCCTCATAGGGAGAAAAGCTTCGCTTGGGTATCTTTTAAGTAGTGACCTCCTTCAGCACTGAGTCCATTGAGATTTGTACGGATACGGAAACTACTGTGTCTGTCACCGTTCGCAAGTTTGCTAGATTGTGCCTTCCCCCGGCGGTGATTCTTACAATCGACAAAGCCAAAGTGCAGGCTTGCCTCTTTCTGAGCGACAGCTACTTGAAGGTTCATGGTACTTAATATCCCAATCAAAACTGTACTTATAACCCAAGTATAACCATATTAGGGCACTCAAAAAGGCTAATAAGTGGGTCTTGAGTACAATATTCTCATTAGGTTCTTTAAGTACCATGAACCTCCAAGGACAGGTAAGGCCGCGACCTTGTTGCCTCATCCCATCCGACGCCACGGCGATGGCCACATCAATGGCGATGCGGGTTTGCCGCGTGACATCTTGCGCGGCGCCCTGGGACGGCAAAGGGTTTAGGGTTTATAGGGTTTATAGGGTTATAGGGTTTTTAGGGTTTATAGGGTTTATAGGGTTTATAGGGTTTATAGGGTTTATGGGGTTTATAGGGTTTATAGGGTTTATAGGGTTTAGGGTTTTAGCGTTTAGGGTTCCGAAGTCCCAGGATGGGCTCTTCGGCCCTAGAATCCCCACAGTCAACCCTACAAAAGGGCCTTTTTAGGGGCGGATACAGGGTATCATAGCCCTAAACCCTAAACCCTATAAAGGGCCTTTTTAAGAGGGGTTACAGGGTATATAATAGGCCGTCCTGGTCCCAACCGCCAAACGCCAAACTCTTTGCTACAAGGCGAAGACCCGCTTTAATGCACCAGCTTTGCAGTGGTCCGAGGTTTTGGGTTTAGGGTTTAGGGCTTCATTAACTGCAGACCTTGAAGAGTGAAGCTGGGGACTTGCGAAGCATCAGCTGCCCGGGAGAAAGACAACAACGAGAACCCACAACCAACTTCAAGCAAGCAACCCTCCCTGCAACAAACGCGCTACAAAGGGGAGTTTGCGAAAATAAGGGGCCCCTACAATAGACGCCAAATAGTAAGATCCCCTTATAATCAGGACCCCAAAAATGAGGTAACCTACACCCTAAACCCTAATTGCACCCTTAAAACCCTAAAACCCTAACCCCTAAAACCACAAAACCCTAAACCCTAAAACCCTAAATCCTAAACCCCAAACCCTAGACCCTACAGTAAATTTTGGGTTTTTTGGGTCTGCAGTCTTAAACCTCTCCAGGGCACCGCTGCGGCTGACCTCGCAGCTTCGGCAGCCTCAACGGCCTGGCTCTTGCAGAGGGTTTTAGGGTTTTAGGGTTTAGGGTTTTAGGGTTTTAGGGATTTAGGGTCTTAGGGTTTTAGGGTTTTAGGGTTTTAGGGTTTTAGGGTTTTAGGGTTTTAGGGTTTTAGGGTGTAGGGTTTTAGGGCTTTAGGGTTTGCGGTCGTCGTTTAGTAACATCAAAGTTGTTTTACTTGGATGGGCCGGGTGGTTGCTAACCCATAGAACGAGTCAGCAAGTATTTGCAAGTTGCTTCTAAGTCATGTCTAACATGCATTTAAGGAGTTATAAAAATGCTAAACGTTTAGAGAGGTTGAGTGGGTTAGCCTAAACATGTTAACCATGTTAAAAAAAGCTAACATGGTTACAGGGCTATAGGCTACCTGAAGTTAAGTGGTTAAGTTAAACGGGCTAATTAGGTTAGGTTATGTTAAGATAGTTAAGCTAAAGGGGTTATAAGTCTTTAACATGAAGACGATTTGAATGTATTATCGTGTTTCGCCTGAGAAGTCGGCAGATAGGGATATATACATGTAGGCCTCGGCCGGAAAGAAAGCAGGAAACGTTTTCATTTTTCGCTTGGCTATATATTGATATACATGGCTCCCAGACTTGGAAGATTGCATGGTTGATGGCATGGGCTTGCTAGGTTTGCATGTTTGCATGGTTGTTGGCATGGGCTGCATGATTGCACTTGCATGCTTGCACGGTTGCCTGCATGGTTGATGGCATGGCCTTGCATGAGTTGCATGCTTGCATGGTTGATGGCATGGCCTTGGTAAAATATTGCATGTTTGCATGTTTGCATAGTTGTTGGCATGGACTGGTTGCACTTGCACGCTTGCTTGATTGCTTGGTTGCATGATGGCATGGCGGTGTCTGAGTTGCATGATGCATGCTTGCATGGTTGACGGCATGGCCTTGTTAGATTTGCATGCTTGCATCGTTGTTGACATGGACTGGCTGCACTTGCATGCTTGGTTGCTTGATATATTGGCATGTGTTTGCATGTTGCATGTTGCTTGAAGGCATGGGTTGGTTGCACTTGCATGATTGCAGACATGGCATGCCTGGATCGCTGTTGTACTTGGCTTGGAATGGCAATCCTGCCAGTTTGAATTGAATTTGCATGCAGCTTGCCGTGTAGCATGGCATGCCGGCGATTGTCATTGCATGCATGCTACCTCTGTTTGACCAGATGGATAGATGTGCAAGTTTGTTGTCTTTTTATGTAGCCTGGCTTGCAGTTTTTGCTTTTCTAGTTTGGTCTCCCGACTCGTACTTCTCAGCCTTCTCTTCGATGGCCTTGACGAATGCCTTGAAGGCTGAGGTCAGCCGCATTCTTGACTCCGACGACGGGGTGAATGTCAAGATCAGCAAACTGACCAAGATCTTCTTGGACAGTGGTCTGACTCGCTACGAAGTGGTGCATCCCAATTTGATGCTCTGCCACCCCTCCAACAGGGGTGGCAGTATGCTAAATGGCCACGACGTCTTGCAGAAAGGCGAACTCCTCATGAAGCAAGGAATAAGGCTCGACTTGCTGGAGGCTTCCAGTGTGGCCTTCTGTTTGTCACGACAAGAAAAGAAAAGGTTGGCTCAGGTGAATGCCAACTGGGTCTTGGCTAACCAGCACCCGGAGCTGCTTGCACATCCGAGCGGTGTGGAAAGGTACCTGTCGGTTGGTACCAGTCACTCAACAGCCTACTGCAGAGCGATGCTGGCCGGTGTCATCGCTGAAAGCCCGGCTGCCAAGCAAGAAGGTCCGGCAAAGACGTGCCTCCAGACAGGCTGGAAGTGGCTCATCTTGGACGATGCTCTAGAGGATGAGTTTCCATCTTTGCCCCTGGTCCTCGCTGCCGGTCTCAACTCGACCAACCAGGTCCATGTCAACCAAAGCGAGATCGAGGTGCTCCTGACCATCGGTCGGTATGTGTCCTTGCATGGCATGAGTGTTGAAGCAGCGAAAGAGAAATGCAAAGAGAGTGAGCCGGCCTGCAAGGATTACATCGATTGCCTGGCCCACTTCGCAGCCCAGTACGGGGGGGGATTGTCTTTTCCCCTTTTGGAGTTTCTTGGAGCTTTCGGCAAGGTCTACGGGGCCAGCTTGGTTTTGGGCTCTGAATTCGTTCGAGCTGTGAGCTACAGCGACTTCCGGGTGGATGGTAACCTTCTGCCCTGCATCAGGGTTGCTCTGCTGGCAGCTCAGGTGGCCAGCCCCAAGGCAGTAGACAAGGTGGCAAAGCTGCTTAGCAAAGCTGACGTTGACAAGCTGCGAGGCATGAAGGACAAAAGCATGTTGATGGAGGCCGAAACTTTGCTGCAGGGCTGCTGGAAAACCGTAGAAGCAGCTTCCTTGGACAGCCTTGGACAGCAAACAGAAGATTCAGGTCTTCGGACGATGCTCGGTGAGGGTCGCCTTGCTGCTGTGCCAGAAAGAGAAAGCGGGACGAGAGGGCAAAGAATGGGGAGACTTGAGTGAAATCTCGAAAGCTTTCGGCATGGAACTCTTGGGCATGAAGCATGGAGAAGAAGCTGCTGCTTCGTCCAGCACTGTCCCAGTTGAAAACATGTTGACAGCCTCTGCCACAGAGATCAGCTTGAAGCAGCACCAGCACTTGCAGGTGGGCTCCAACTTCACCCACAAGGATCATGGCCCCCTCATCTTCACCATGCTTGGTGTGCAAGGTGACCAAGTCCAGTTTCAGCATTGCCCTTTGGTAGGGCAACCCTTGCTGGTCACTGTGCCTATTTCGGCCGAGTTGGCGAATTGGAAAAGAAGCAAGAAAGTGCAGCCGACTGCACTGGATCCCACTGTTGCAGAAATGTACTCGGTGACAGCGAGCAAGCAGCAGACCGAAGCTTTCCAGCTCAGCCAAGCACAAGCCGAGCTCTACAGGCACTACACGAAGTACCATGACAAAATCCAGGGCCTGAGTTTCGTCACCCCTCCTCCAGGCTTGGTGGCCACGGTTGAGATCCCGAAAAAGAGCCTCACCCTTGTTGCCTTTGGGCAGCTGTTGCTTGTGAAAGATCCAAGCAAAGTCAGGGACAGCTTCATGGTTGGCGACTACATGCTCCAGGCGCCCAAAACCGTGACAGATTTTGACAGGCTGGACGAGAAATCCTTGTTGGTTCCCTTCTGGAGTGTTCGCTCCACAAGCGAGGTGCACATGGTCAACTTGACGTTCGTGCATCAGCAGCTGGGTGGCCTCAAGGTCCCAAGCTACATCAATACTCGCACCATCGCCAAAGGCGAAGTCCTGTACTGTGCCAACGAGAGTTTGATTGCAAAGCAGTCCCAGGCAAGTGCCCCTGTGGCCGGTTCGCCCGTGAAGAGGCACCGGCAGAAGGGACCAGGCCACATCTAAAGGTAGAGGTAAAGAGAGTCCAAGGAGTAGGCAGCCGATAGTTTTGGTCTTAGGAAGGAACTTGCTTGCAGAGCAGTGCGAAAAGTTCGGGGGCCTGCGTGCATTCCAGAACAGGAGGCGAAGCTTTGACCCAACCGAGGCACACAGGACATGAGCTTGAATACTCCTGCAATCTTTTCTCTAGCACATCCTGTGTGAGTGTAGCAAGATTTAGCAGGTTTTGTTTGTTCTTCTTGACCAGCATGGCAGTCGAAGTGACCTATGTCGTGCAGCTGAAGACGGAGCAGCATCCAGAGGGCTTGGTGGCCCCTTCCGACCTTGTTGTCGAGTACAAGGAGAAGAAGTACCTCAAATTGCTCGGCAGTCATCACTGGCTGGTCAGGCTCATTTGCCCGGAGCTTTACAAACGACACCGAAACCCGAGCATAGCAACCACCAAGACCATGAAGGACTTGACCCAAGCCGCCGTGAATGCTTTCGTCAAGATGGGCGAAGAACAGGAGGACTTGTTCGAAGGTGTGGCCGACAGCAAGAAAGCACCCCTGAAAAGAAAGCGATCCTGTGTCGAGAGCGGGGTGAAGACTGTTACATTGCCTGACTACAGCACAGCCGAGTTCTACATGGATCAGCACCACAGCTGCTGCCCTGCTGTGCTGCTGGAGCCCAAGTCTCTGGAAGCAGTGCTGGGCTACCTGAGGGGATGCTGCGAGGAGTGCGAGAAGTCCGCGACCAGGGCCTACAACAAGACGGGCAAGTTCAAGAAGAAGTGAAGGCCTGTAAAGTAAGGGGCTCCTGCTACTGAGACGGCCAGATTGGTGGCACCAACATGCAAAAGCCGATCTCGGTTTGCACGAATGGAAGGTCCATGTCGGTGACTTGCATGGTAGAGGCTTCATCATGTGTGGTTGAGAAGCATGCATGCTTGCACTTGTCATGTCGGCAAGCTTGCCCTTGATGCATGCATGTCTTGCTTGAGGTGCTGGTTGTTTTCTTTTTTTGCATGGCTGCCATGCATGTGTTTTGCATGTCATCTTGGAAGTGCTGGTCTTGTTTTCGTTAACCCTATAAAACCCTATACAGACCCCAGACCCTAAAGCCGAAACCCTGCACCCTAGACTCAAGACCCTTAACCCTAAACCCCCAATCCTAAACCCTAAACCCTAAACCCTAGAGACCCTAAACCCTATAGACCTATAGAAACCCTAAACCCTATATGAACCCCAAATCCACAACCCAAAACCTTCATCCAAGGGAAGCATGCTCCATCGTCTTCGGGGTTTGGCGAGACTCCCAGGAGAACATGAACCAGAAGCCGATCCTGGTGAGGTCATGGAGCGAGCACGACCCCTACAAGACCTGTGCTTTCTGGTATTATATCCGGCAAGGATACTGGATATGTGCAAGCCGAATCCTGGACGAGGATGCGGCGAACCCGTGGCAGGACCTGACGGTGTGGGCTTCGGGCGAGGGGGAGGTGCTTCCTCGAGGAAAGATCTACTCACCCTGGAATGGGGAGATCTTGCCGTGCTGGTCCCAGGGAGTATGTGGAGCCCTCAGCGAAGTTTTCGAGCTCGTGGGGAACAGGGACCAGCAGGAGATCTCCGTCCTGAAGGACAAGAACGAGCAACTGGAGCTGGAGATCCATGCCCTGCGACTGGAGGCCAGAAATGGTAGACCCTGAACCCCAAACCCTATACACGGGTTTGGGGTTTTTCATAGGGTTTATAGGGTTTGTAGGGTTTAGGGTTTAGGGTTTAGGGCTTAGGCCGTAAGCCTTCGGGCTTAGGGCTAAGGGCTTATAGGGTTCAGGGCTTAGGGTTCAGGGTTCAGGGTTCAGGGTTCAGGGTTTAGGGTTTAGGGTTTAGGGTTTAGGGTTTAGGGTTTAGGGTTTAGGGTTTAGGGTTTAGGGTTTAGGGTTTAGGGTTTAGGGTTTAGGCTCAAGCCTATACACACACCCTATAAACCCCATGAACCCTATAAACCCTCTAAACCCTAAACGAGCCCATAAGCCCCATAAACCCTGTAAACCTTAAACATCCTTGCATGTCGTTCTGCTTCCCTGTAGATCGATGAGTACAAGAAGAAGCAGCAGCAGGTCCAGCAGCGGGTGCAGGCCAGGACCTGCAACCGAAGTGCATGAGGGTGTTTGTTGGTTGGTTGCTTGCTTGCTTGCTTGCTTGCCTGCTTGGTTGCTTGCTTGCTGGCTTGCTTGTTTGCTTGGTAGCTTGAGTCTGCCTGGCAGGCGAATCCGCCAGCCCCGCCACCGGTGCCCACGGGAGTGACTTTCGAGAGCCTGGGCATCAACCGGCCGCCCCCACCGAGGCCGTAGGGTGCTGGAGACCACCCGGGGGGTTCTAGCCTAGACCTGAAACCCGTTAACCCAAAACACTTTTTTTAGGGTTTAGTGTCTAGGCCTAGGGGATTCTAAGGGTTGAAGGTTGGTTCATGGGGTTTAGGGTTTAGGGTGGAGGGTTTATAGGGTTTAGGGTTGAAGGTTTAGGGTTTATACCATGGGGTTTAGGCCTGAAAGGGTTGGAGGGTTTAAGGGTTTTAGGGTTGAGGGGTACAAGGTTACAGTGGCCTCCAGCCCGTATATCTAGCAGCAGGGATGCAAGCATGCTCGGCCCGTGCTGTCAAAAATGACCAGTGTCTTGCCCTGGACCGAGCGATGCACGTCGGAGTGCTGCATGGACATGCATGCTTTCGAATTGGTGGGCATGGAGGTTGTTGTTTAGAACTCCTCGGCCGTGCAGCCAAGGTGGGCTCGTATGCATGTTCCACACGACATGAGCATGGTATCAGTTGAACACACATGCACGGCATCGGCAGGCACTGCATTGGGATATAGGAGACGGAGTGACTCCGGTCACCATGGCCGGCCCTCTGGTGCAGGGTGCACCCGGCACGGAAGGCTGGGGCAGCCCTCTAGAAACATGTCTCAGCCCTGTAGAAACATGTGGCACGGGGATGTGGAAGCTGAAATCTTGGGAGGCATGCCTGAGATCATGTTCGACGGGGACGAGTGGCTCCGGTGTCGCGAGGCTCACGAACAAAAAACCCCAAAGCCCAGAGCACCAGCAACCCTAAACCCTATATACCCTCTTAACACCCCTGGAAGAACCCCAAACGTTCAACCCTGAACTGCCCCGATTTAGGGTTTAGGGTTTAGGGTTTTGGGGTTTGGGGTTTGGGGTTTGGGGTTGGGGTTTAGGGTTTAGGGTTTAGGGTTTAGGGTTTAGGGTTTAGGGTTTAGGGTTTTTTAGGGTTTAGGGTTTAGGGTTTAGGGTTTAGGGTTTAGGGTTTAGGGTTTAGGGTTTAGGGTTTAGGGTTTTTAAGCCTCCAAACCCTCAAGCCGAAACCTTACACTTTTAACCCTAGAAGCCTTAAATCTTAAAGCCTAAACACGGAACCCGAAACCCGAACCCTTTAACCCTCTGAGCCCTAAACCCCAATCCCGAAACCTGAAACTATAATCCCAGCTCCCGGGACGGAGGCTGTGCTCTTCCGGAACTTCCCCGGCATCCAGAGAAGCTGCGACTGCATGCTGCTCTTCGGGCCCTGGGACAGGCAGAGGGAGTGCCTCGCCTGCACTTAGGGTTTGTCGGCATGGGTTGTTGGCTTGGCATGCTTGCTTGTCCTCTGTTCCTTGTCTTGTGTGGATTGTAAACAAGAAGCTTGGCATGCATGGCTTGTTTTGTGTGTGTTAAAAAAAAGCATGGCTTGGCATGCAACTTGAGTTAGGCTTGGCATGGGTTGTTGGCATGGCATGCATGGCTTGTTTCGTGTGTAAATACAAAAAAAAGAGCTTGGATTGCAACTTGAGCGAGGCTTGGCATGGGTTGCTGGCATGGCATGCATGGCTGTGGCATGCTTGCTTGGAGCCTCTGGGACAGCTTGCTTGTCTTGTCTTGCTTGCATGATAGCTGTTGTTTTGCTTTGCATTGGGTCTACCTTGTTGTCTGGAGGCCATGATATGTTTGTTTGCTTTGTGTGCAATGGAAGCAGCAGACGATGCAGAACACTCACATGTGTGTTCTTTTGGTCTCATGGTGAATTCAATCTACTGAATTCACTTATGCTCCAAACCGACAGTGAATTCAGTCTACTGAATTCACTCCTGCCCCAGGGCACCAGTGAATTCAGTTTACTGAATTCACTCCTGCCTCAGGGCACAAGTGAATTCAGTAGACTGAATTCACTGATGCCCCAAGCCTGGAGTGAATTCAGTCTACTGAATTCACTCATGCCTCGGGGCGAAAGTGAATTCAGTAGACTTAATTCGCCCCAGCCCCGGTGCTGAAACGAATTCAATAAATCCAAGCATGTGTGAAGACGATTTGGTGAGTCTTAAGGGTTAAATAGTAATTGTTGAGGTCTAATGTTTAGGGTTTAGGGTCTGGTGTGTAGGGCTCGTAGTTTAGGGCTTAGGGTTTAGGGTTTAGGGTTTAGGCTTTAGGGTTTAGGGTTTCGGGTTTAATGTTTAGGGCTCAGGGTTAAGGGTTCAGGGTCTAGGGTTTAGGGTCTACGGTCTAGGGTTAAGGGTTTAGGGTTCAGTGTTTAGGGTTTGGTGTTTAAGTTTTCGGCCTTAGGCCTTAGGGTTTCGGGTAAGTGGCTGGGTTCCGGCTCTCCGGTTTAGGGTTTTGCCTGTGCTTCCTGAAGCCCACGGCCTCATGCATTCATGCACGGTTCGTTTGTCATGCATTCATGCAGGGTCTCAATTTTGCGCGCAATGTTCAAATGCAGCCATTCAGTATCGTGCCCAGTATATTGATCCACAGCTCCAGACACAATCATGCCGGCAGATGCTCGCGATGGCTCGCGAACACCTCCTCCGACTTATGTGTGGAAGTGGTGCTGGAAGAAGACAACCTTGCCCGGCGGGGCCGAGATTTGGTGGTGGGTGTGGTGGCGAGAGGCTGCTGATGCCCGCAACTGATCGAGCACAGCCTGGAGCGATCAAGGGCTACATGTATAGGCACTGTCTCTGGTGCAGCCTGCATGGAGCAAGCTAGGGTGGCATGTATAGATACTTTCTTCGGCAACCGCTGCCGACGGCAATTAATAAGAGCTTCCGAGCGAGCCCTGCTGCTGATGTACGAATTCCATGGCCTCAGGAGTGAAAAGAACAACTGCTTCTGTGTCCAAGCACATGTGTCGCAGGCGAGTATAATTAGTATTCTATTGTTACTACGACTACTACTACTATAGTATTTGTAGTAGTTGTAGTAGCCCTGGCACTAATAGTTGTAGCAGTAGTAGTAGTAGTAGTAGTAGTAGTAGTAGTAGTAGTAGTAGTAGTAGTAGTAGTAGTAGTAGTAGTAGTAGTAGTAGTAGTAGTAGTAGTAGTAGTAGTAGTAGTAGTAGTAGTAGTAGTAGTATAGTAGTAGTAGTAGTAGTAGTAGTAGTAGTAGTAGTAGTAGTAGTAGTAGTAGTAGTAGTAGTAGTAGTAGTAGTAGTAGTAGTAGTAGTAGTGTAGTAGTAGTAGTAGTAGTAGTAGTAGTAGTAGTAGTAGTAGTAGTAGTAGTAGTAGTAGTAAGTAGTAGTAGTAGTAGTAGTAGTAGTAGTAGTAGTAGTAGTAGTAGTAGTAGTAGTAGTAGTAGTAGTAGTAGTAGTAGTAGTAGTAGTAGTAGTAGTAGTAGTAGTAGTAGTAGTAGTAGTAGTAGTAGTAGTAGTAGTAGTAGTAGTAGTAGTAGTAGTAGTAGTAGTAGTAGTAGTAGTAGTGTACTAGTAGTAGTAGTACTACTACTACTACTACTACTACTACTACTACTACTACTACCTACTACTACTAGTATTGCTACTACTACTACTGCTACTGCTATTTGTACGAGTACTACGAGCACTGCTAGTATTGTATAGTATTCTTAGTACTACTACTACGACGACTACTACTACTACAACTACTACAACAACAACAACTACTACTACTACTACTACGACTACTACTACTACTACTGCTACTGCTACTGCTACTGCTACTCCTCTACTACTACTACTACTACTACTACTACTACTACTACTACTACTACTACTACTACTACTACTATACTACCATTAGTACTACTACTACTACTACTACTACTACAACTACTACTACTACTACTACTACTACTACTACTACTACTACGACTAGTACCAGGACTACTACAACTACTATTATTACCCCAACTACGAGTAGTAGTTGTTGTTGTCGTACTAGTCTACTAGTACTACCACTACAACTACCTACTACCATTACTACTACTAGTACTACTACTACTACTACTACTACTGCTACTACTACTACTACTGCTACTACTACTACTCCTACTACTACAATAGTAGTAGTTGTAGTAGTAGTAGTACTACTACTACTACTACCACTACTACTACTACTACTAGTACTACTTGTACTGCGACTACTGGTAGAAGTACTTGTAGCAGTAGTTGTTGTTGTTCCAGTCCTCGTCACAAAGTACTGCTACTGCTACTGCTGATGTTGCTGCTAAACCAGAACATGGGAGTGCACATGAAGCATGCATGTCCATGGCAAGACATGCTTCCCTGAAGTTGCTACCTTGGGCTTCCACGGGCCATATAGCACACTGGTGTCCTTTGCCAGACGGGCCGAAGACATGTCGTGGTCCAGCGAGGACTTCATGTCAGAGCTTGAGGATGTCGCAAAGCTCGTGAAGTTAAGCAACGGCAGCACCCTCCACGACAGTCTTGTGGGCGCCTTGGTGAAGAAGCTGCATAACACCAGCAACTTCATGCCTAGCGACTTCGTGAACTGTGTGGAGGCCGTGGAAAAGTCCTCGCTTCCGGATGAGCAGAAGAAGAAGCTTTCGGAAGCCGTGGTTGCCAAAGCTGCTGCAGCCAATGAGGAGCAGGGCAACAAGACGGTGCGAAATCCTCAGACTCTCACGAACATGCCGGCCTACATGACAAAGGATGAATTGAACACCCTGATGACGAAGGACATCAACATGGCAGCCGTCACAATCGTGCAACGACTGCGAAGGCTTGGCATGACATCCATGAAGGAAGACACGAAGCGAGCAGCCGTGGCCTTGGAAGTCCAAGCCTACATTTGGCAGGGACTGCCCCGGCCGACTCCGGATGAGATCTATGCTAAAGCACAGAATCTAAGCAGGCTGTTCCTGAACGACTCGACTACCTCTCCCGTGGCCCCTGTGAAAGTCTACCCCTCCCTCCCCACGGACCTCGGTGAGGAGTGGCTGAAAAAGGTCTACGACACGGAGCCACCGAGCTTGATGAGCCTTCCGGGTTTCGTGGCCTTGCAGAACGACTGCCCAGTGAGAGAGACACACCGCCTTCTTTCCTGGAACCAGAGAAAGAAAATGTGCACCCCTGGCCGTCGTGGTCAAGGCCATGGCTGTGGGAACATGGCCACGGACATGAACATGGGCATGAGCATGGATAGGATGGTGGGCGAGGCTGTGAGCACTTGGTGCGAGGCGGTCTTTTGGGCAGGGAATCCTCGCCTGCCCTGCCCAACTTGCAGATTTTCCAGAAGCCAGCCAATGCCATGGAGAACCTGGCACTTGCCCGGCAGCAGCTTGGCCTGCCACCTCTCAACAACAGCACTGCCTCTTCGGCAATCGCAGGGACGGCAGCTGTTCCGGGTACTTGCTTGCAGGGGTCACCGGAGCAGCCAACAGTGGAAGAGGGTCACACTACTGGGGCACAGCAGAGCGATGCGAACCAGGACGGCAGCATAACCTTGCACGTGGAGGACGACCAGAAGCAGCAAGATGCACAGCATGAAGGCGGTCAAAGCTTGGAGGACTACGAGAACCACCACTTGGCTCTCGTGCAGGCAAAGAAAACAAGACCCTCTGCTTCCTTGAAGCGACCGGCCTCTGCAAATGCTGCCGGGCCCAGCAAGGCCATCAAGAAGGCAGAAGCAAAAGCCAAGGCCACGAGCAAAGCCCAGGCCAAGGCCAAGGCAAAGGCGAAGTCCGAGCTTCGCTGGGGCTGCACCCGCTGCAGAGGCAATGTTCGTGGCTGTGACTCCTGCAACTTTGACGGCTTTCGTGGTGTGCGACTCAATGGTCGAGAAGCCTGGCTGAAGTACTGTGCCGAGAAGAAGGCCAAGAATGCCAAGAAGACGAAGAAGTGAGCCGGGATAAGTTTTTGCTGGGGCTTACATGGCCAATGTCTCTAAGCAGACGGCGACTGCCATGGCTTGCTGGGGGAGGTCTGACCTCGTCACAGGGGATGCCACATGCCAACATGTGCATGTTTGCTGAGCCTGTCTTTATCCATAGCAAATCCGGGCAGAACTCGCTGCAAGAAAACTGTGCTTGCATGCCGGGTCGGTATGTGAAAGCTTGCCCGATTGTGTTTCCATGCGCTTGCAGTCCATGCTCTTCCTCTCCTGCTGGCCGATTCCCGAGGCTGCATGCCCTGCACATGCTTTGCTTCCCATGCATGAGCCATATGTGCCCAAATGCCCGTGTCCACATGGCTGCAAGCACGGGCAGCAGTGATGACAGACCAGGAAAGCTCAGAAAGTTGAGCAGTTCCGAAGGCAGCTGCCGTATGTTTCGGTATCAGCTCTGCAAAAAATACTAGACCTTGTGGACAAGGAAGGTGTGCCGGACATGCACTCCCGAAAGAATGCCAAACAGGCAATGCAGCAGACGATGCAGTCTTTCAACCATTATGGGCCCTTGATGGATGAAATGGAAGTCAGAATGCTGGATGGCAGTAGCATGAAAGTCCCCTTCTGCAACCTTCTCACTTTGTTGCAGGGATGCTTTGCCCAGGATGCTTATTTCTCGGATCTTCTACAGCAAGTGCACACCCTGCGACCGTCGTCGATACAGGCACCATGGGGAGGGATAATATATGCTGATGAGGTGCACCCCGGCAATCAGCTCAGTTCCAGTGGCAGAAAGACATGGGCTGTCTACTTTTCCTTTCTGGAAATGTCACCGCAACTACTCTCAGACGAGAGACATTGGTTTACCTTGCTTGTGCTGAGGAGCGACCTCGTGGCAAAGATGGAAGCAGGGATCGGTCAGTGCATGAGACAGGTGCTTGAACGACTTTTTGGCGGGGACACGAACCCCATGCATGGAGTGGCTTTGCGATCGACCACGACACGAATTCGCTTATTTTTCAAGCTGAGCATGTTCCTGCAGGATGGCTCGGCTCAGAAATTCACCTTTTCCAACAGGCAAGACAGTGGCACCAAGATGTGCATGAGTTGCAAGAATGTTTGGGGTTTCAAGGCCGAGGACGACGAGTTCAGGCTTTCGGCGAAATTCCTTACGAGGGCTTCTTGCGACATTGCTACCGATGAAGAAATTCTATCCAGCTGGGACAGACTCAAGGCCAAACAAGCTACCTTGACAAAGGTTCGGTTCCTGGACTGGCAGCAGGCCTCCGGGTGGACCTTCTCTGCTGAGGCCCTCCTTTTATCCGAGACCCTCAGAGGCTTAAATGTACTCAAGCCAGTTACCCAATATTCTTTTGACTGGATGCACGGACTGTGCTCCAATGGGGTTTTGAACTTGGTCATTTTTTGGACATTGGAAGCCCTCAAGGAGGCTGGCATGAATGATATCTGGACACGGCTTCACGACTATCTACAAATTTGGTGTTGGCCATTGCATGTGTCCCAGAAAGCAGGAAGTGTTGCCAAACTTTTTCAGGAAGCTGCTGTCAAGGGTCACAAGAAGCATGGGAGTCTCCGATGCTCGGCCTCCGAGGTTTTGGGCCTGCACCAGCCACTGCGACATTTCTTGTTACGATGCTGCCACGTTCCTTGCGAGGGACCACGACAAGCTTGCTTGGCATGGTTGCGAGTCCTCGAGATCCTCCACCATTCGCCTACACGGTTCCCTGCTCCAGGCGAGCTTTTGAAATGTGTGGAGGATGCACTGCAATTGTGTGTCGATGCAAACTGGGCCAATCAGATGATACCAAAGTTTCACTGGTCCTTGCACTACGAGGACCAGATGCAGCGATTTCGTGCTTCTCCCAGTTGTTGGGTGATGGAGAGGAAGCACAAGAACATCCGAAGGTATGGTTCCGGTGTCGCTAACACGAGGACATACGAGGCCACTGTTCTGCAAGAGGTCACATGCGACCATGTGGCTCACCTGACAAAAGACCAGAAGTGCATCTTGACTGCACACCTCGTCCAGCCACATCCCATGCACAAGAAGCTGCAGACATGGATGGTTCAGCATGGTGTTCTTGGAGACCAGATCGCATCAACGAGCGGTGAGGCCAGATTGCTTTCGGGCGCAATGGTGAAGAAAGGTGACTATGTCCTCTTCAGAGCTACACCGCCTCTCTTGTATGGCTGTGCAGAAGTTTGCTGCTTGCTGCAAGCAGATGAGGTTCATGCTGCACTCGTCGCTGTCACAGACTTGGTGGAGCAGAGCGAGCAGCACCATTTCGCCAAGTGGAAACCAGCAAGCTTTGAAGTCCTCCACCTGGACCGTTTGCTCATGCCACTGGTGCACTACAAGGCTGCCGATGGAACCATTACCACGCTCCTGCCTTTCCACATCTCTGTCTCACCCGCCCTGGCTGCATGAGGGACGAGAAATAATGTCCTCATGAGAAAAGCAAGGAAGGCTCATACAAGAGCATGCCATGCTATCATGCCATGCATCCATGTCCATGCATGCAAGAACATGTCATCATGCATTCAAGCATGGTGCTGCAAGCATGCAGGCATGCAGCACACTGGGCATATATGTCAATATATGTATAGCAACACCATGCATGCCCTCATGCATGCAATCACAAAGCTGCATAGCATGCATAAAGGCTTCCGAACGCATGCAAACTTGCATGCGCAAAAGCATGCAAGCAGTGACAAAAACAAGACGAATGCAGAGAACCTTGCAGCCTAAAGCTTCACAAAGCTTCATATTTTTACCGGCCGAGGCCCCTATACATTTTTCATTTATGCCTTTGCCGACTTCGTGCACACAGACCAAGTTCCTTTCTGTACACATCGCTTCGTTCTTTCATCTTATAAGGAAAAAGGCAAAGCTGGTTTTGTGTTCCCCCAGGCTGCAAATCGTGGTTAAGATTTTTTGCCTGTTCGTGCCTGGCCCGTTTCGAGACCAGTTCTTGCCTGCTTTGATCTGCCATATCATCCTGGTTTTTAATTTTCAAAGCACCACAGTTTGGGATATAAAATCCTGTCTAAAGGAGTTAACTTCGTTAAGATAACGGGTTAGTAAGTAGTTAGGTTTACTGGTTGTAAGTGCTTTAGCTAACTGTTCTGCTAAACCACCTAAATGCAGCTAACCTGCTTAGCTAACCTTCTTAAACCTGCTAATGAATTACAACATATAAGCAACCACCCGGCCCATCCAAGTATGGTTGTGCTGTTGATGATTATGAGAACTAAGCTAACTATTGCTATGTTCCGTATTTTGATGATTATCATGCAAACTGCAAATTTGAGTCTGAGGATTCTACAGCATGCATTGAGATTGTGAAGGGTTCTGATGATAGTCATGACTGCTGACGGTGGTTACCATGTTTGTAACTCGTTGTAGCTGTTATGTTTCACACTACATTATTAAACTCCGTTATGTTCACTGACTTGCTTCTTCGGGAAGGGGTCAATTAACCGTAGAACTTGGGTACAAATCTAAGGGCCCACAGTGCACTTTGCACAGTATACCTTTTCAGCCCTAAACCCTACACCCTAAGCCCTAAAATCTAAACCGTGTTCACGTGCTTGCCATCTGGCCTGCACCACCGGCGGCTTTCCTTTCCGTCGCAGCTGTGACACCGTGACGGACGAGGCCGCAGACACGGCGGCAATGGCCTGTCTGTCCACGTCAAAGCCTGACAGGTGAGATAGGGCTTTGGGTTTAGGGTTAAGGGTTTAAGGGTTTAAGGGTTTAAGGGTTTGAGGGTTTGAGGGTTAAGGGTTTCGCGTTTAGGATGTTTAGGGATTATAGGGTTCGACAGACACCGTATTTCACCCCGAAAGTCGTGAATATGTCACGATGGCCCAAGAAAACCGAAGCCCTGGCTTCCAAGGTTCCGAAACGCCCAAAAAACCCTTAACAAAAACTACTACAACCCATTCTAGGCCCTTTCTAGGCCCTGGCAAGAACCCAAAACCTCCAGATTCAGTTGCAGAAGACCCCCCTCCAACCATTTTCAGGGCTTTGGTGAGTTTTGTTCTTCTTTGGCTTCCGCGGGGAGCGACCTTCTGAACCTAACCTTAAACCCTAAAACCCTAAAACCCTAAAACCCCAAACCCTATTTCAACCCCTAACCCTGACCCTAAACTTTAAACCCTAAACCCCTAAACCCCTAACCCTAAACCCCTAAACCCTAAACCCTTTTTTATTTCTTCAGGGCTCCTGGGGTCTCGGCCCCGATCGAGGCCAATGCGATTTACGCAAGCGTCATGACTCGGTCAATGACTCCGGCCTGAACCTCCTCCAACACAAAAACTTGAGAGTTTCTCCAAAACCCTAAACCCTAACCCTAAACCCTAAACCCCAAACCCGAAACCCTCAGCCAGCCGCGGGACCCAGCTTCTCGATCGCCGACTGCGCAGCCCAGGCCGCTTCCTGCGAGGCTTTCTCAGTCGCCAGGTGGAGGTCCTGGGCACTGGACTCGGTCCGAAAGTGAGTAATATATGCTGAAGTATATGTTGAACCCTGAGCCATAAACCCTAAACCCTTTTCTAACCCTAAACCCTAAACCCCAAATTCAATACAACCCTAGATTCCCACCAAAGGGTGCCTGGACCCAGAACTCTACAAGCACAGAAACGCTTTGAAGCCGAGTGCAAAATCCTTGGGCGGTCTTTTCCGGGAACCCTATAAGCCCTAAACCCTAAACCCTAAACCCTAGACCCTAAACCCTAGACCCTAGACCCTGAAGCCTAAACCGCCCCCAGAACCAAACATCAACCTAGGCTGTATAGGCACCTGGACACTTCCGTAAAGGTTTGCTCTACAAAGCACCCCCTCAAGCCCCTTGCTACAAAACAGCTGTGTCATCACCCCAGTTGCTGAGTTCCCCGGGGCCAGAAAAAGGCTAGCCTTTCAAAATTATGGTAGGAATATGTACATATATATATATGTAGATATGCATATATATATATGCTCACCCCCCCCCCCTCGACAGACCCCCGGAAGCAAAAAAAGGGCTGAGGGCGCGACAGACAGCATAGCTGCACACAGTAGCCAGACACGTTAACAAACAATAGAGATATATGGTACCCCCCCTCCCCAAAGATTTATACTTTTTTGCTTTGTTTAATGCCTTTGATGTTTTTCTCTGTTGTTGTATGTTTTTCTTTTGTTGTCTGTTAAACCTATGTGTTTCTATTTTAAAACCCTTATTGAAATATTGAATGTCCAGAAGGGTTGGCATTATTGAAACCCTTATTGAAATATTGAATCAACAAGGGTGGTCATTATTGAAACCCTTATTGAAATATTGAATTTCAATAAGGGTTGGCATTATTGAAACCCTTCTTGAAGTATTGAACTTCAATACGGGTGGTCATTATGGAAACCCTTATTGAAATATTGAATTTCAATAAGGGCGGAACCAAGAACTAAGAACTAAGACTGCCAGGGACTCTTGGTCTGAGTTCTTAGTTCCTAGTACAGCCCTTATTCAAATTCAATATTTCAATAAGGGTCTTAAAAAAAGAAACACATAGGTTTGGATTCTTAGTTCCTAGTACCGCCCTTATTGAAATTCAATATATTTCAAAAAGGATTTCAATAAGAGGTAACCCAGGAACTAAGAATCCGTACCGGATAGAGGTCTCATTCGTTTGAAAGGAATTCCTATTGGTTTAGGCTCATATTGATTTAGTAGGATTCCTACTAATTCTTGTTAAACGAATCTTATTTTTCATAGGAGTCCTATTAATTCCTATTAATCTTCACTGCGTTCTTTTGATTTGTTAAGGGTTCCTATTCAATTTAATGGCCTTTCTAATAGCTTCCCCGATAAATTTCGTAGGAGCCCGAAAGATTCCTACTTATTTTCATAGGATTCCAGTGAAGTTTCATATGGTTCCTAATTATTTTGATAAAGCTCCTACTACTGCAATAAGACTCATATCAATTTCAGAGCTCTTACTCATGATATGTGGATTCGTATTAATTTTAATAGGGATCTGATTCATTTGAAAGGGATTCCTATTGGTTTAGGCTCATATCATTTTTAATAGGATTCCTATTAGTTAAGGGTTCACATTCGTTATAGGAGTCCCATTGGTTCCTATTAATTGTAGTAGGGGTCCTCTTCAGTTTATTAGGATTCCTATCAACTATCATAGGGTTCTCATTAACGTGGGCAGAAGCGCAGCATCAAGCACTTTTCCTCGCACTTTCCGTAAGCAACTCCGGTAGCTGTTGCTAGCATAGCTCTCTGTGTTTTTAATATATTTCATATTTCTCATGAGTGTAGAACCCCTAAAAGAATCTCACCAAAACCTGAGTTTCCAAAAATCCAAAAATCCAAAAATCCCAACCCAAGTTTCGGATTTTTGGAAACTCGAGGAATTTGCTCAAAATCCAAAAAAACCCAAAATTCCTCGAGTTTCCAAAAATCCAAAAATCCAAAAATCCCAACCCCAGTTTCGGATTTTTGGAAACTCGAGGAATTTGCTCAAAATCCAAAAAAACCCAAAATTCCTCGAGTTTCCAAAAATCCAAAAATCCAAAAATCCCAAGCCCAGTTTCGGATTTTTGGAAACTCGAGGAATTTGCTCAAAATCCAAAAAAACCCAAAATTCCTCGAGTTTCCAAAAATCCAAAAAAACCCAACCCAAGTTTCGGATTTTTGGAAACTCGAGGAATTTGCTCAAAATCCAAAAAAACCCAAAATTCCTCGAGTTTCCAAAAATCAAAAAATCCAAAAATCCCACCCCAGTTTCGGATTTTTGGAAACTCGAGGAATTTGCTCAAAATCCAAAAAAACCCAAAATTCCTCGAGTTTCCAAAAATCCAAAAATCCAAAAATCCCAAGCCCAGTTTCGGATTTTTGGAAACTCGAGGAATTTGCTCAAAATCCAAAAAAACCCAAAATTCCTCGAGTTTCCAAAAATCCAAAAATCCAAAAAAACCCAACCCAAGTTTCGGATTTTTGGAAACTCGAGGAATTTTGGGTTTTTTTGGATTTTGAGCAAATTCCTCGAGTTTCCAAAAATCCGAAACTGGGCTTGGGATTTTTGGATTTTTGGATTTTTGGAAACTCGAGGAATTTTGGGTTTTTTTGGATTTTGAGCAAATTCCTCGAGTTTCCAAAAATCCGAAACTTGGGTTGGGATTTTTGGATTGTTGGATTTTTGGAAACTCGAGGAATTTTGGGCTTTTTTGGATTTTGAGCAAATTCCTCGAGTTTCCAAAAATCCGAAACTTGGGTTGGGATTTTTGGATTTTTGGATTTTTGAAAACTCGAGGAATTTTGGAGTGGTGCTCTTCCCCCCCCCCCCCCCGCTTCCTGGACAGATCGGAAATACAATTCCGGGGTCTGTCGAGGGGGGGGGGTGACCATATATATATATATATACATACATATGTATATATATATATATATACAGCTATATATATATATATATATATATATATTCTTTTTTTAATACCCCAAGAGGTTAAAGGCTCCCTACTCAGCTACAAAGTCACCGAGAAGCCTTCATCTCGCTGCTGGCGGCAATGGCTGCAGACTTGGCAGCTAACTTCTCTTGCTCCTGCCGGTTTAGGGTTTAGGGTTTAGGGTTTAGGGTTTAGGGTTTAGGGTTTAGGGTTTAGGGTTTAGGGTTTAGCAACCCCAAGGGTCCATGAGCCCACATAGCATATACTTGGGGGCCTTAAAGGGGCTCCTATAGAGTCGCTTTAGGGCCCAAGTTATGTGCTTTATAGATACGTGGGACCCTTGGGGCAAATCACAAAATCATGTCGGCTTCCCTGTTGCTTTCCCGCAGCGGCTTACTTACTTACCCTCTGCATCCTTCTCTCTCTGTCTCTTTCTCTCTTTTCGGAGCCCTTACGCGGTGCCCCTGCCCCAGGCATTCTTGTTGACAGTGAGACTGCGGCATTCGGGCAGCGGCACGCTTCACACGCAAAGGTGCGAAGTGACTTAGCACACGAAGAGACGAGGAGACCTGCACAAATAACACTGAACTGCACTCAAGGCGGCCTAATCAAAGAGGTGCGACATAGACCCGCAAGGCCTGTCTCGCTTCTCTCTCGCTCTCTCTCTCTCTCTCTCTCTCTCTCTCTCTCTCCCTCTCTCTCTTGCCATATAAATATATGTGTGCAAATATAAATACATAGCTACATATATACAGAAATATATGTGCATACCAAAATCCGATACATTGTGTACCAAAGATTTTATGAGATTCTACATGTATATATGTATATCAATATATATATATATATATAACTCACTGATACATTATCTAAATAATCTTATCCCTCAAAAAAGGCGTTTCCATGAGTTTCCCTCTTCCAGCCTTGTCGCTGAGCCCCTGCTCTTTCGCTGCGTGGAGGGTGGCAGTCGCGGCTTCTAACACGGCCGCTCTGACACCTGAGGCTTTCGGCCCAGGGCCCATAGACCTATGGAGTAACCAGATCGCTTGGGGTTTAGGGTTTCCGGTTTTTGGGTTCAAAAAGGGTTTAGGGCTTGGTACAGTTCAGGGCTTAGGGGCCTTAAAGGTGCCTCGATAAGAATAGCTTTATGGCCTCAAGTAGATGTCCTGTGTAGCTTTTACTTCGGCCGTAAAGGGGCCCCTGTAAAAGCAGGTTGCTGCTGCTGTTAAGTGTAGTTGGTGCTCAGGTTTTCCAAATGCCCGTGACAAGAGCTCCACGAAACTCCAACGTATCGTGCGCCCTCTCCCCTGCATCCTGCCTTTTCCCAGCCGCGAAGCATAGTCCGCAGCCACCTCTTGCACATCATGGGCTTCTGCTTATTTGGTATTGCTTCCTGCCTTATGTCAAATCCGGGAGTGGGGCTTTTTCGGATTTAAGTTGACCGAACAGCAGAACCCAGTCGAGCTGAGGCATGCATTGGTTAGCCACCTCGGCTTGGTCAGTTTAGGGTCCACCAGGGCATCGACGCTCACACTCGCATAGCGGCAGGCAGGGCACATGATTTCTGTCCGCAAGTCGGAGAGCACGAATTGTTTAAGGTGGCTGTACATACGGCCTCTGCAGGTCTTTGTCGTCTGGCGCTGGCCCTGCGTCGGAGACTGGGCTGCTGATCGCTTCGAGAACCTGACTGGCTTGGCTCATCGTGCTCGCATGCGCGGCTTCCACAGACTCCAGGAGGTCTTCGGGCAAGGGGTTCAGGGGCGCCTCTGTTAGTGCTTCAAGCCGGTCGCAATCTGCCGACAGCTGGCGCAACTGCTTTCGGACCTCGGCCAGCTGCTGAGGCAATCGTGGTGCGGCCTTCAGGACGCTTGCGCCCTGCTCTTTGGGTGCGGAGGCAGGACCAAGCTCCACCACCCGGCTATGCTCCTTGTTCATGGTTGGGACAGTATTGAAAAACCAAATGTCCAATTTTTATTGAGTTTAAGTCCCTTAAAAATGTTAAATGTTACCCCACTATGACCAAGGCTCAGGAGTGTCGGTGCCGAAAGCCCGCCTCACGCTTCCCCGGATCATCTTGTCGACGGCCTCGTCGAGCTTCATGATCAAGTCGCTATCCAAGTCGGTCTCCTCCGACGAGTGACGCGCTTGGGCCAGAGAGTCGATCTCAGGCACACAAGGGACCTTGGGCCCTAAACTGTAAACCCTAAACCCTAAATCCTAAACCCTAAACCCCAAACCCTGAACCCTAAACCCTAAACCCTAAACCGACACAAGGGACGAAGGCCAACTTGCTCGCCGATCTCGGCTTCGGGGGCACGGGCTGATGGACGGTCGCAGGCAGGCCGACGACTTGCTCCTTAGCTGCCGAGTTTCATCAGCCCCCCCCCCCCCCCCCCAAAAAAAAAAAAAAAAAATGTACACTTTCAGCTCTATAGGGGATTATATAGTATCCCCAAAAAAGTGGAAAGTGTACTCACTCAGCTTCTAAGTTAAGCAATTAGAACTGTACTTCTAACCCACTTATAAGCCCCCCAAGTGCCCCAATATGGCTATAAGTTCTCTAAGTACAGTGGTAAGTACCTAGTAAGTACCTAAGGCTCAGCCTTGCCCCTGCCGCGGTCTGGGGAGTTGGAAGCACTTCGCTTGGACGGACTCGGCCTCCTCGCAAAGGCACTTCCACTTCGGACAGGTCTCGGCCGCGGCCAAGCCTAGTTCATGGTCGGAAGAGGGTTTAGGGTTTAGTGTTTAGGGCTTAGGGTTTAGAGTAAAAAATTGAATTTCTATTCCTTATTGAGTTTAAATACCCTTGAAAAAGTAAAATGTTACCCCAGTATGACAAAGAAGCCTGAACCTCCGCAACGTGGCAGACACCGAGGCTTTGCTCGATCTGGCACAGCTGCTCACGCAAAGACTCACGGCCGGGCGATGCTGCCATCTCTAGCGCGCTGCTATTATGTCTAGATGAAAAAAGCTATATCCGACATGAGCTGGAGAAAGTTGTGCTGTACGGAGACATGACTGGGTGGCTGTGTACTGTAGTTGGAACTCTGGTGTTGTTTGCAATTCCTCTTTTGGGTGCGGGGTCAGTTACCCTCCACGAGGTGTTGAACGGGGCCGAAAAAATTGCACGCCCCACACTCAGCGAACATGCATCCCTCATGTCATCGTTGTCCTGCCACGCACTGATGCTCAAAAAGAAGATCAACTTGAGCCGCAGCCAGGAACATTCACGCCTCTAGGTTGAATCGCTCACGCTCGGACAAGCCAGGTGAGGCAAACAGGTCCACTTACACTACGCGGCAGCAATGTGCTAAGAACTCCACACTGCCGAGTAGATGACATATGTTTAGGGCACACCTTTCTCCAGGATCCCCCTGAACCCTTTAAACCTCATGAACCCTATATCCCCGTAAACCCTATAAATCCTACAGAACCCAAACAACACCATAGAACTTCCTATCAAACCCCACAAAACCCTACAAATCCCTATTAAAACCTTATGCAGCACCATAAACGCTGCAAGTCCGAAACCCTAGCAGCAGGGAACCAAACCCTAAACCCTAAACCATAAACCCGAAACCCTAAACCCTCAACTTACAAACCTTAACAGCAGAAGCTTTCGGGGGGCGCCCGAGGCCCCTCAGAATGGCCTGGCCAGACACCAGCGGCAAGATCTCGGGCTCGGCACCTGCACATCTTTTCATCAACTTAGTTTTTTTTGTTTTTAACTTAGGGGTTCTAGAGTATCTCACCCTTAGGCTCAAGATAGCCAAAAAGTTTTCATAATAGGGCCTTTGGGCTTTAAATTCGTGAAAACAGGAGTCTTTGGAGCCTGAGGGTGAGGGTTTGTAGAGTTTGGGGGTTGGGTTTGGGGTGTGGGGTGTAGGGTTTGGGGTTTGGGGCTTCGGGTTTAGGGTTCACGAGCTGCTGAGATATTCTTAGATTGAAGCTTTCCGGTTCTTCGTAGGGAATGACGGAATGAGGTATATAGTCCCTTAAAGGGTATCTCTAGGGGCTAGGGGGATCTGGGGGAACTAAATCCCTCATTCCCTACTGAGAACCAGAAAGGGGGTTTGGGGTTTAGTGTGCATGGATGGTTCAAGTAGGCGCTTTCAGTTTTCTGACTTGCTAGAAGTATCCTTAATAAAGGTTTTAACTGTAGCTTCCTTACTTGTAGGGGTTCGTGGATAGTTAACAGTCGGGTTGTAATGTACGCCTTCCGCGTCTCCAAGTGTCCCAGACCCTGGGCCACTCAAGAAACCCAATCTCTAAAGCTCCATCTGATATTCACACAGACCCGTAAGCCCACACCATCATCCCTTGGTAAACCCCCCCTGCAGGCCAAGCGTCCATTAAGACACAAGTAATACCCCAACAGCTTGTGCTCCTAAACCCTAAACCCTAAACCCTCAACATGCTTACAACATCTGGTTCAGGCAGCCCTACAGCCTGAACGGTACGACCCCGAAACCTTCTTTTCAATCAGGAGCCCTCCGACGTGCCGGGAGCAGCAACCCCAAACCCTAATTAAACCCTAATAAACCCTTTCAAAAAACCCTCAACCCTAAACCCTAAACCCGAAACCTGAAAAACCCTAAACCCTTTCTGAAAAACCCTGAGCCCTCAACCCTAAACCCTAAACCCCAAACCCTAAACCCTAAACCCTAAACCCCTCACCACAGCAAGTAAGGCGCCTTTCATGTTCTCCGCCATGGCCGCCTTGGTGGCCGTGGCGGCGGCGACGAGTTGCTCTGCCAGGCCCATGCCCTCCTGAGGCTTTTGGTTCGGGTCTTTCTTCTAGGGTTTGGGGTTTAGGGTTTACGGTTTAGGGTTTAGGGTTTTAGGGTTTGGGGTTTAGGGTTTAGGGTTTGGGGTTTGGGGTTTAGGGTTTAGGGTTTTAGGGTTTTAGGGTTTTAGGGTTTTAGGGTTTTAGGGTTTTAGGGTTTAGGGTTTGGGGTTTGGGGTTTAGGGTTTGGGGTTTGGAGTTTAGGGTTTGGGGTTTTAGGGTTTTAGGGTTTTAGGGTTTTAGGGTTTTAGGGTTTTAGGGTTTTAGGGTTTTAGGGTTTTAGGGTTTTAGGGTTTTAGGGTTTTGGGGTTTTGGGGTTTTGGGGTTTTGGGGTTTTGGGGTTTCAGGGTTTTAGGGTTTTTAGGGTTTTAGGGGTTTAGGGTTGTAGGGTTTTAGGGTTTTAGGGTTTCAGGGTTTCAGGGTTTTAGGGTTTTAGGGTTTTAGGGTTTTAGGGGTTTAGGGGTTTAGGGGTTTGGGGTTTTAGGGTTTTAGGGTGGCTTTCTTGGGCCACCCGCATGGCGGGTTTAGGTTTAGCAATTTCTGCTTTGGGGGGGGGGGGGGTGGGGGGGAGGGGGTCTATACGGGCCTTAATAATTAGAATAGGGCTTTGCGGGGTTATCAGTATAATTACAAAGGGAAGACTAGAAGTTTTCGGGGTGTCGGCCCGGGATGAACCTTTTCTGAGACATGATCGGGTTTCAGACCGCAGCCATTTTGCCAAAAAGGCTTGAGCCCTACCCGAAACCCTAAGCCCCAAAGCTTAGAGATGCTTGGAGAGGCTGCCGTGGCAAGGCTCCTTCTCGGCTTTCAGGGCGGCTTCGTGGGCCACGGTGAGGATCTGTCTGAAGTCCTGGGACGCCACAGTTGGTTTAGGGTGTAGGGTTTTTGGTTTAGGGTTTAGGGTTTACTGTTGGTTTAGTGTTCTACAAGTTTAGCTTTTTTCAACGCTTTCGTCTAGGGTCTAAAGTTTCCCCTACATGAGCATGATGGAACATGGGCTTACTGCCTCTACAAAGCCCTGCTTCCCGACTTAAGCAGCTTCTATCCCTTTCCATATCTCAGCGTAGTTTGTCCCTTAGTATGGGCCTTTAAAGGGGGACCCTTATATACCCCTGAAATACCCTATACCAAGTAAGGGTCCATACGTCAGAACCCGTTAAAGGAGGTTAGGGACCATATTAAGGGCCCATGCAACTACCCTTAGACCATAAAACTTTAAGAGGATCCTATGGCGCCTGCCATCCCTACACATCTACCCAGACGTGAACTCTAAACCCTAAACCCGTGAAGAAGAGCGCGCGTGTGTCTTAGGGTTTAGGGCTTAGGGTATATTCGTATACACTTATAAACAATACCTATACATAAGTACGAAGGTGTATATATGTCTATACACATACACATAGTTGTTTATCTTACGGTAACTTAATTCAAGCTCCTGAGCAAGAACCCGGTTGAGGACTTGTGGCATCAAGGCCCCCTAGGACCCTGTCCTGCGAAATGGGTGACTTTGAAAGTAGTTCTGAAGAGTAGCAAAAAGAGGACCCTACGAGGAGCCTACTTGGGGCTTTCCTACTTATAACCCTACTTTCATACTGCATTTCTTGCTAAAACCTATCCATGCTCCAAGTGCTTAAGGCTGCAATGGTCCAGGACCTGTAGGTGCAAGAAGTTCCTGTTAAGTAAGGGTTCAGGGTTCAGGGTTTAGGTTTAGGGGTTAGCGTTTAGAGTTTAGAGGGTTTAGAGTTTGGAGGGTTAGAACCCTTGATGTGGCAACTGACCCTATAACCCTAAGTCCTCCCTTGGGGGGTATGTAATTATAGGGGGATATAAGGTACCCTCGTCCCAACCATATCATCCCTTAAAGGTATGTAAAAGGGGATATAACCTAACCTGAAACCAAGATACCTCATTCCCTGCTGAGGGCCAGTAGGTCTTACCGTACGACCGACCTGGAAAATATAAAACTGCGGTCGGGCAAAGCGGCTGCTGAGTCTTCTGAGGCCTCACTCAGAATGCAGGTTTAGGGTTTAGGGTTTCGGGTTTAGGGTTTAGGGTTTGGGGTATCCCTAAGGGTCCATGTACCTATATCGTGCTTGAGCCCTAAAGCTACAACTACATGGGAACCCCTTTGGGACCCAAATATATACTATATAGGAACATGGACGCTTAGGGTATGGTGTGCCTTCACGTTCTGTAAAGTCCCTATGTAGCAAGAAATTTAAGGCCCAAGTATTCCCTATTTAGGTACATGGACCCTTAGGGTTACGTAACCTACATCGAACCTTCGAGCAGGCTATGCAAAGGACGTTTGGGAGAGCTATCGTACGACATCTTGAAGTAGGTGGCTACGTCTTCACCCCGTCCACCTTCAATACTGCGCCGGGCCGATAGTTCGACCCACCAACATCTTGGGGTTCTTACACCCCATACCCCGCCCTCTTCCCCATAGACTCCTGACACAATGGGGCTGGGGGCCTCCTCCGGACCTACTATATAGTACTATATTTTCAAAACGGGGTATTAATTTCTCCGCTAGCAGGCGTAGGGAAAACGCTACTTACCTTTCGGCACTCCGCTACTCCGCGGGAGCCTTCACTGTCTGCATGCCATCCAACATGTGCCGTGGGTCGAAACTTTCGGCCCGGGGGTGCCTTCCGTAAGCACTTTTTGAAGCAGACACTGGCCACCAAAACGCATGCTGCCTTCCGTAAGCACTTTTTCAAGCAGACTCTGGCCACCAAAACGCACGCTGCTGTCCGTAAGCACTTGTGAAGCAGACTCTGGCGACCAAAACGCATGCTGCCTTCCGGAAGCACTTTTTGAAGCAGACTCTAGCCACAAAAACGCATGCTCTGCGCGATGCTGACGCCGGCCAGGTCCTGGACGCCAGATTTTTTAGTGGAAACGGCCTTGTGAGGAGCAGCATGCGTTCGGGGAGCACTGGTCTTGCCCAAACTTCAAAAAGGTGGGATCTTTTTGAAGCAAACTCTGGCCACCAAAACGCATGCTGCGCCGGGCCGATAGTTCGACCCACCAACATCTTGGGGTTCTTACACCCATACCCCGCCCTCTTCCCCATAGACTCCTGACACAATGGGGCTGGGGGCCTCCTCCGGACCTACTATATAGTACTATATTTTCAAAACGGGGTATTAATTTCTCTGCTAGCAGGCGTAGGGAAAACGCTACTTTTCGGCACTCCGCTACTCCGCGGGAGCCTTCACTGTCTGCATGCCATCCAACATGTGCCGTGGGTCGAAACTTTCGGCCCGGGGGTGTATCCCACTTTTGCATCTGGAGCTGACATCCCTAAAATCGAAACACTTCCAAAACCCTAAACCCTGCCCATCGGAGAAGCAGCAAATGTAGACTTGTTCTGATTTCTGGTCCCTGTTGGGCTTTCTGGCGGAATACGCAGCTTTGATCTTCACCCAAAAAAAGCTCACCATTTGAAAACATGAAAGGTGGGGGCACCTCTTGGCTATTACGCTAGAAGGACACTTGAGCACTGCATTTACAACTGCATTTACATGGAGCATGATGGGTATGGACTTCATGAAGAGACCCCCCCCCCCCCGCCCCCAAACGCTCAAAAACTACTGCGGCTTGCAGGACTCAAGAAGTCTTTCGACGCAATGTTCCGGAGAATTAGACCCCTAAACCCCAAACAGCAAATTAACCATCCATGTAAGTCAGTCCCAATACCCCGACTGCAGCCTCCGTGGCACAGCACTCCCTTCCCTGACCACCCCGGACCTCCCAGCCTTCTTCCGAATAATTAAGTAACACCTACTGCCCCCATTGCCGCCAGCGCGGCTTTGCTCAAATCACACCAGCGTTCTGCGCTGAAAGCGTGGCTCATCGGCCTTCCCACAACTGCTGCGCTGTTGGGGCACTCGTTTTCAGACATGAGGTTTAGGAGTTGGCTGGCGCGTGCCTAAAGCTGGTACATATGCCAAGGCCTATAGGCTGTTTCCCCCGCTGTACTAACAGTCCTTAATAATAGGCGGTGCTTTAATTCCTATTGACGACTGTTACATAAAGGTGTGAACATCCCAATGTTCACAGGCCGCTTATAGCAAGTGAACTCGTTTCCACGGCCAAGGCATCACACAGCCAGGAAACTCCACAGTTGCCAGGGAGTTCGGGGTCTCCAGACTCTCAGAGATGCTTAGGGTTTAGGGTTTAGGGTTTAGGGCGGTTTAGGGTTTAGGTTACCCCAACCCCCCCTAAGTCTCCACCCCATGACTATCATGTAATCGTGTATGACTATGATGAGGTCCTTGTTTGCGGGTTGGTTGGGGGTCTCCAAATGAAACGAATTTCTTCTCCGGCCTCGCCACTGCCTTGCTGCCATGAAGCCAGCAAGCCTCGCGGGTTTATGCTGGGGCTTCGACTAGGGTTTATAGGGTTTAGAGGGTTTTGGGTTTGGGGTTTAGGGTTTATAGGGATGATAGGGATGATAGGGTTTATAGGGTTTATAGGGTTTCTAGGGTTTGGCTCACGCGGGGCACTTGCAAGTGAGGTTGCGGGTGCTCGTCCGGATGACTAGGGGTCACATGCCACTTAGGTGAGACGCTAGGATTCATTTTCCTTGCCACCCGCCTAGCTGACATAGTTGCATGTCACTCTGAAGGGACGATTCGAGGAACGGACGGAGAAGTGCATCCGTAGGGGCGCATTCTGAGGTTTGTAGAATACAAGCTTCTGTCTCGGAGTCAGAGGCTCAAGACGCACTCGATGGATGTTTGCTGGGGACAACATGAGCTCACGACTCGGCAACTTGGGACTCTTCTACCTCCAGAACTACTGAACAAATTCGTCCGCAAGGGTAAATCATGGCTCAGTTGCGACGTGTCCAGGTCGGTGCATGGCTGGACGGATGAGACTGCATAATTACCGTGTAGTTTCTCTGGCTGCATCTTGCAAGAAATCCAAGAATAGCTTGCAGTGGCCAGCGCCTTGCTGTTCTCGAAGTAAGTGAACACCTCCTTGGTATAATGGGGTCATGACTGACAGACAGACACACATGCACACGAAAAACCTTGTCAGTGTGACAGGCATATTGTGCCACCACATGGCGAAAACGGAACGCTGCGCAAGTAAGACATGCTGGTCTGCTTGCCGAGGGGCACAATACCATGTATTCCGGCAAGTCTGCCTCAGACGCCCTCTCCAAAGCAAGACGCTTTCTGGCTCAGAGCGAGAGATTTCGGTGCTGCGTCCCCGCGTCAGCCCTAACCCGAATTAAGCCCTTTCTGAAAACCAAACCCCAAACCAATTTTTGACACCTGGACCCTAAAGCCGAAACCCTGAAACCCGAGTGAAAGGCCGGAGAGCTGGCACACACTTTGGTCCGCAACATAGCCGCCATTGAGGTGTGGGTGATCCGCATCATCGTAGCCTCAGCTGCTGTGTAGCTACCTAAAGGCTCCAATGTAGTTCCTTTTTGGATTAGTTATAGGGTATTCTAGTAGACTGCCCCAAAAAGGTACTACATAGGAGCCTTTGGGTAGGTGGCATGCAGTACAAACAAATACAGACAAATACAGATAGAACAAAAGAACAAGCTACTTGCCTTCGAACATCCCCATCCTGCAGGCAAGTGATTTGAGAGCTTAGATTCTGGGGTTGGGCACTCCAGAGGACGCTCTGACAATTCTCTGGGGATAATCTGTGGTTGGGCCTCTCCAGGGATTGTGTGGGCATACTCTGGGGCTTGGCCCTCCAAGGATTTTCTAGAGATACTGCACTCCAGAGACTCCAGAGATTGTCTAGAAATGCTCTGAGGCAAAAGACCTTCGTTTAAATCTAACAACCCCACACCGAGGGTGGGGAACATATTAAATATAGCAAGTCATATTTATAAGTAAACGCTTTAATGTTCTACACCTGTTTGTCATTGAACCTACTCGAGAGGACAACGCACTGCTTGGAGGGTGCACCCCTGCGTTGAGGGCACCGCCGTGCCTGAAGCTAGCAGCAACTCCAGCAACACATGTCTTGGCGCACCGCATTCTTAAACCCTAAACCCTAACCCTAAACCCTAAACCCTAAACCCTAAACCCTAAGGGCTTTTGGGGGCCCCATTGGCTTTGCTACAGTGCAGCTAGCGCCAGGCGGCCAAAGCCTTTGTGCGCGCAGCTCTTGCTCAGCAGGGGTGCGGCCTCGTGCACACGCAGCAGTGCCATGAAGCCTAAGCCCTAAACCCTAAACCCTAAACCTTTGGCTCGTGTGAATTGCAAGGGGAACCGAACCCGTAGAAACAGGAGCAAAGGCCTTGAGCCCTGCATGCCTACACGCGAAGGACGTTGTCAAGTCTTCCGATCCTCACGCGCTAGGAATCATGAACCCGAGAAGCCTTTTCGGGTTTAGGGTTTAGGGTTTTGCCGACTGAACCTTGTATGCCCGATACTCTACACGCCCCAAACATCCCCAGACCCTAAGAAATCTTTTAAGCCCCAAGCCCTGAACCCGAAGAAACCCCAAGAAACCCTGAGAAAACCCAAACCCTCTATAAGATGCGAAGAAACCTCAAGAAGCCCTAAGAAACCTTATATAAGAACCCCAAGAAGCCGCTCCCAAAAACTCTACGCAGCCGTGGGGCAAGGCTCGAGGAAATGCCTTGAAAGAGCCACGCAGCGCCCAGGCAAAGCGAGGCACCTCCCGAAAAGTGCAGTTTAGGATTACTTTTCAAAAAAGAAATAACCAGACCTCGGAACACGAAATATGGCTCTTTGCTTCTTTCAAGCCAGGTTCAGGCACACAAAGGAGGGGACCATTACCGCTAATGGTGTTTTTTGGTATTCTCTCTGCGCACTATTCATGATAATATAGTAACCTCGGGCAAATAACACAAGGATAAAGGCCCGGGAAATAGCGTTCGATTGTATTCTGTTGATTAAGGGCCCTTATAATATAGTATTTTGGTGCCATGATATACCTCTAATGCAACAGGAACACGCATACAGCCATATTACACGTGCACCAGCGATTTCATATTCTATGATTTACAAACTCATTAACGGGCCATTTCCCTTTCTCTCATGCTATTCGCCTTTTCGGACTCTTCCTGTTCATGGCTATAATCCTTACGGGCTCGTTGATAACCTTTGTGCGCTCTCCAAATTCATGAAAAGACGCCCTCGTTTCGCATTTAGATGTGATGCCAAGAAAGCCCCAACGTTGCTCTCATAATTGCACACACCAATGGTGCCAATAAGAATATTAACAGAGCGTACAAACAAGAGATCGACACTGAACTATTGCAATTACTACCTGGAGAGCTTGCATGTAGTTCATTCCTTGAAAAATGTGCTTTCAAGTGAACTTATAAGGGCTTTGTTGCATTCGCTTGTTAACTTCTCTTTTCGCACGAATTGTACGGTTTCTTTCTTCTTCTCTTTTGAATCAGCTCCTCATGGACAGGATGGTCCAGCAGGGTTGAAGTGGTGTGGGCTGCAATCCAGCTTTGCTTGAGAATTGTGACAGGGTGCGGGCTGACATTTTTGCTCATGAGGTTTAGAAGATGCAGCGGAGTTCTGCCAAGCTTGGGATGTATAGAGGTCTTGCGCAGGCGGTGGTGTGACAGGCAACGGGAGGAGACGCCACTACAATCTGCGCATACTGGCGCTTGCGACTGAGTGAGGGAGTGGGTGGATGTGTGCACACATATATATATATATGTGTGTGTGTGTGTGTGTGTTTATTTATATATGTAAAAAATCATGTCTCATGTCTCCACATAGACCCCTATCGTGGCACCGTACCTGCACTCACTCACCACTACCCTGATCCCAAGTATGCCAGCAGCAGGCATCTAACTTCTGGAAGCCTCGCGGCATCAGGGCAAGTCGCGTGCCCTGTGCGGAAGACATGGCCCACGGTTTCCCCGAGTGTTGGCCAGTCGAAGCTAGCAAAAATGTCGTCTAGGTCTGAAGATTACAAGTCGCAGAGCCGCCATTCTTACCACGTCTTGAAGTCTTTAGCAGCTCTATCTGCGAGCACCCGTAGCTCCAAGAGGTTCTTTGGTAGCCTAGTGACTCTGATCTCATGCGGCCATCCATTTGAGCTGAGGTGGCAGACCACACTCAATCCTGTCCCACCCTATCCCAAGCCGCTTCCTCATGCCGGGGGCTACTTGATTGCTACATCTGCGAGCTGTCCTACCACGGAAGAAACTTCGAGGTCAATCACATCTTGTTGCCCACAGGTGTTCTGCGTCGATTGCTTCGAAAGTCGCAGTTGTTCTGCGAACCTACGCAGGCGCATTGGCCCGCACTTCAGCGACACCAACAAAAGGACTTTCCTGGAAGGGAACTAAGTAGACTCTCCAATGCGAACCAAGACCTGCAGCATAAGCTTCCACCCTCATCTCCGGATTTTTACATGACCACGGGCAATGGTGGCTTGCTCTCATTCCGGCGGAAACCTGTGGCAGTCGCGCACGCTATGCCTTATACGCCCTATGTCCCCATTAAGGTGTCCGACATCAAGGCCGAACTGTGGCTTCGTCTATGACCAAGACATCACAGTGGAGCTCTACACTCTTACCTGGGCATGTTTGGGCTATGGCCGGCTCCTGCCTTATATTCTGCTGCTTGCCACACAAAAACTTCCCAAAACCCGGGTCCAGAACTGTCCTCCAAAACATCTCCAACAGTGTACTCCAGGGCTCTAACATCCCACAGATACTCCCCCCAAAACTCCCGACACAGAACCCATAGCTATGAGTGTTGCTCTGTGGACTTCCATAAGCTGCCACCTTGGGATGTTCCCCCTTACACTAACAGTCCCTTGATAGGGATTATAATTGGGGGTACTATAATCCCTATTCGGGACTGTCAGTAAAAGGGGGACATCCCAACTTCCACCAGTAGTGATGGCGAAGACTTTCAGAAGATCATGCTAGGGCAGGGGGACGCTGACCTCAAAAATTAGCAGCTGGCAGGAACCATCCGCAAGTGCCTGACATTACGGCTATGCTGCCTCCATTGCCACCCCGCAACAATGGCTCACCTGCTGAGTGGGGTGGCCGGCACCTAAGCAGAAAGCGCGCTGCAGGACTACCAGTGGGTGCTGAAGGCGATGCTGACATGTTTGCACATCATGACGGGCGCTGAAGACTCCAACCCTGCGCGATTATGGCAACCACATGTCACACTGCACAGGCTGCAAGAGATGCACCCCAAAGTGTCCATCTACCCATGTTCTAGGTACTTCAACCCACCAAAAAACAGGCCCAAAGCATTCCTTATAAGAGCACCCACCGTTTGAGCATATGCATACTGCGGCAACCTAAAACGGAAGGACCTCAAAAGGACCACAACTTCGAGAACTACGGACCCTAGTTTAGAGAACTACCCATATACTACACTTGAAGCTCGGAATCATCGCCAGTGTGGAAGGCCCAGGGCCCCGGCAGGTTTTGCGGGAGTTCGTGGGGAGGGCTCCGGTGGTCGATGTCTCGAAGGCTCCCGGGGCCTCAAGGCGTTCATAGAGAAGGGCAACATATAATCCACGGTTATTTCGGACTTTATATGCGTATGTATATTTACTTTTACTTAAAGATGTGTATGCACACATAATATATATATATATATGTATGTCATTATGTTTGTGCTGTTCTTTTTGGTCACCTGCCAGTGGTTTGTGCAGGGCTCGGGGTTTTCTGGAGTTTTTGGTTGCTGGCGTGTGGCGGTCCCTGGCTTCAATGGGCTTGTAACCTACCGCACTAAGTCCAGGGAATGCTTTTTGCTATATAGTTTCTATTTGGTATATTATCTTGATTACATTATGATCTTCTTACCTTCTTATACCATATATTGTATTCCATCATAACTTTAGAGTATCATGTTATCGTCCGGGAGCACGCCCTTTTTCCGAGCTCACACGCGGCAAACGGCGTAGACGGTCGCCTCTCCGAAACTCATTTCGACGGGAATCCGCGCAGCACCTCTGGCAAAGGATACTCGGGAGTTGCATCTTGTGTTGGGCATGTCGTTGTGTAGCAGTGACTGCAAGCTCAGGGGCATGAATCTGAATTGCTGTCCCGCAGCACAGAGAATACCTATGAACACAGACAAAAAATAGAAACAAAACAAACCTCCAGAGAAAAGAACAATTCACAAGAGGATACCCTTCTTACAAAGTTAACTACCATGAAACTCCTAATTCCAGGAACCCACCACTTGATCCCGGAACTCCCCTCCGAAATTATGCCCTGCTTTGGGTAGCATCAGGCCAGCTGCCATCCACCAGGATGGGTGCAAAGCCCGGCGTAGACTCGGCGAAGTGAGGATCCATAGTTCTCGGTTCGCAGAAGTCCGAGTGATGCGGGACACTGCGGGGCGGTGAAATACGTCTAGGGTTTAGGGTTTAGGGTTTAGGGTTTAGGGTTTAGGGTTTAGGGTTTAGGGTCCCCTCTACCAGATGATATAACCCAGAAACTGGCATGGCAGACCCATTTCCTCCCATGACAACGCACACATTATCGGTGACATATAGAAACTGCGTCGGAAATGAAAGGACCTTGGCACCATTTAGGGTGCCTCCAAAAGTTCTTTGGGTGTGCCGTTCTGAATCTGAGGTTAGATGACTCCCCTTACAATCTCAGCCCCAAACCCTACAAACCCTATAAGCCCTATAAACCCTGTAAGCCCGAGAAACCATACAAACCCTACAAACCCTATGCAAACCCTATGCAAACCCTATAAAACCCTATATCAACCCTATAGAAACCCTATAAACCCTATACACCCTCTAAGGCCCGCGCAGGATCCTGGCTCCTGGCCGCAGGCGCGCAGCACGTGCCCGGACTTCGGCCAGCGTCTCCGGCCTTGCGGAAGAGGAACTTCCCAAAAGGGTCAAAGGGTCCATCTTCCCATCCTTGTGGGTACCTAAACGGCCCAAGTATCAAGGAATACCTCCCCCCCCCCCCCCCCCCCCCCCCCCCAATAAAAAAGGGGAATAAGGGCCTCTGGGGTCCGAGGAATCTGTGTTGCTGAGTTCATAAGCCCCCTCCAAACAAGTGCACGCTTTCACTTCTAGAAAGGATTGGCGTAGCCAAAAAACTGTAAAATGTACTCATTCAGCAAATAAATGTAGGTAACTAACACCCCCCGCCTCCCCCCACCCACCCACAAAAAAAGCCCCTGCCAGGTAATTATCAGGAATGCAATATGCATAACTATATCAACAGTATAGGGTCCCCTCTCTTCTGAATAGACATCAAAGATATTGAAAGATGCTGTGCAGCCATGCGGCCGTAGGCACAACGAAGCAACCCAAACGATGTCAACATCCTCCTCCAAGGAAGCAACCAACTTCATGTCCGGCGAAAACTCACTTGCTTTCGACTCTCACTGGCATGTGCAGGAGTTGCAGTGACAATGCTGCTATGCGAGAACAGAACTGGCTGTTGGAGTGCTTTTGCCGTCTGCACTGCCGTTCTGCACTGCAGTTCCCCGCTCCTCCTCCCATGCCACATCGGGGCCCAGAAAGCTCTGCATGCGCAGATCCAGCGGGGCTAGCTGCCTCAACAAGCTGGGACCCGGACCCGGGACAACTGTCTCTTGTCACCTTTTTCAACGACAAGCAAGCGCTCAACAACTGTGGCAAGTGCAGTAACAGCGGCAGAGTTCAGAAGGCGACATTCTTCTGCCCCGAGTTAACAACCGAAAAAATATACCCTTAACCCCTAAAAAGCTTTACCCTAAACCTCTAAAGCCCTAAAAGCCAAAGACCGAGTGCATCCGTTCATCCCTGCGCGATACTGCTGCAGCCGCGCGTCCCGCCGGCCAGGTCCGCCACACTCGCCGCTGCGCGCTCAGCGGCGGCGTGGAGTGGCTGTAGGAGCTCGTAGCCTTTTTGGATGTTTGGGGCTTGGGGATGGCTTCTGGGTATGGGGAGGGGGGGTATGCTGTTTGTGCAGTCGTGTCGTTCGAACATTCGAACTTTTGAACATGTGTGTATATATATATATATATATATGAAATACTACATATATATATATATACATATCTCTTTGTATTTTATATGATAGTATATTATACTCTCTCTCTCTCTATATATAGATGCAAACCCCCCAAAAGGGCCTCGGCAGCAGCGCAGCCCGGGGAAGGCCAAGGCGGCTGCCAGCACAGCCCGGCCAGTGCCGCTGCCCAGGTCCAGGAAGGTCTCTCCTACACTGCAGATAGTTTGGGGTTTAGGGGTTTTAATAGGGTTTAGGAAGAGATAGTTTGAAGCTTTAGGGTTTTTAATAGGGTTTAGGAAGAAATAGTGTAGGGAGAGATGCTTTAGGGTTTGGGGTTTAGGGATGCTGCTTGGGGCTTCTGGGATCGTGTGTGACTATTCAGGCCTCCTGACAGCTCCGGTTTTGGACGCGGAAAGATGTTGTGTACATGCTGCTTTCTGCACCCTGAAAGCATGCCAGGTAGGATGCCAGTGCCCAGACTAGCAAGTCATGTGTGCATTAAGCATCATAGAATACCGTCCACTCTCCAGAAAAAAACTTACCCAACATGTGACCCCGCCTGCCCTCGGAATCGACTACAGCACCTGCTGATTGAGAAGCTTCCAAGATGGCGACCATATGTGGGGCTTTCAGTTTTTGGGGCGTTGTTAAGCTTGACGGTTAATTAGGATTTCTAGGTCATAGGCCATGTGGGTGCATGTTGGGGCGTATATACGGCTACATAAAAGTTTACATGCTTTGTCTTCAGGGTTGAGCTTAGGGGCCTATGAACCCGATTGGACCCTGAAACATCTGGGCTTAAGGTTGAGGGCTGGCAAACCGAACGCACATCCGATGCAAGTTCTCCTGGCGGCAGCCCACCCATCCCGTCCTGGTTGAGGCTGAGCAGCACGCTCCAGCAGTCGGTAGAAGGGGGCGAACTCGACCTCTGCATACCTTTGCCGATTTGCATTCTACTGCTGGCGGTTCTAGCAACCTATTTGTTAGGTCCAGGGTAAACCTGCAAGAACCCTATCCACTTCTCAACCCAGCGAAGCCGCATATAAGACACTGTAGACTGTATAGGTGCTGCTTCTTAGTGGCTGAATACCCTAGCCAAAAAAGGCTTAACCTTTTCTTTGTAACAGGGTTTTCTATATAGCCAAATACCCACCCCCGAGGGCTTGTGGGGTTCTGTGGTGTGATTCTTCTCCCAAAGTTACGTGAGCTCCAGGTTCCGCCCGCCCAAGACCTGCGAAGCTTCGTCCGAAAGTCGCTGGCCATCGATGTCCTCCAAAAGAAAAGCTCTGTCTGAAGATGGCAAAAGACCCTAAGGAAGTAGCTTCTCAAGCCCTGTAAGTGCATATAAAGCCCTACAAAGTGAAGATCCTCGAAAAAAAACCTACAATCTTAGAACTGCATTCGCCAAGGTCTCGAAACCTTTTCAGGCTTCTCGTTATTAGGGGGAAGTGGCATGGAGCCACGGCTTGAAATAAAACGGTCCCGGAAGGCGCCGTAGAACGCGGAGTGGGCCAGGTCAAGGCCCTGAGGCAGGGTCCTTGCAGCATGTGGCTTGGGGCATCGTATCTAAGGTTTACGAAGGGCATGTTGGGGTTCATTGCATGGGTTGAGGGCTTATACGGCAGCTAAGGGCTGCACATAGGGAGGTTAGGGTTACTTAGGGTTGAGGGTTTGAGAGTTGAGGGTGTTGTAGGGGTATGGGCAGAGTCTGAGGGCTTGTAATGGTATAGGATGTTTAAATTCATATTTTTTGTTTTATCCTTCTTTGTGGGGGCTCGTTTAGTCATACTCCCCCCAGGTGGGTCCTAACTCCCTATGGGCCGAAGGCACGCTGACTCCGGGATGAAGGTCAGCTCAGCGGTGAATGTCACGTCTGCCGATGCCTCTATACAATCAAAAGCAGGCTGCAGGATGTGGGCGCGTTGTGTTTCTAAGGGTAGTAGAACCACCCGCTTCTTTTGGGGGAGGTGGCAGAATGCAAGAGTTCATGGAACACCCGGACCCTCCACGGCCATGCCTGATCCGACTCTGCACCCTCAAACTCCTCGGAAAGCCCCCAAGAAGCTGCGGAAACCTCGGCAGGGGCCGGCAGCGGCTCGAAGACCACGCCGGCGGCATGGCCGAGGGGCTCCGACTCCTGTGCTGCTCTGTGGCTGTTGCGGCTTTTGTGGCTTCTGTACCACACGCCATGCTTATGTCAAAAGGGCGTTCAGGACTAAACTGTCGTTAACTACAGCTTGGACTTTGGAATCATATGTAGGACCCTAAACCCCTGTGAACCCCTATACACCCCTATAAACCCCTCGAACCCTAAACCCCGTAAACCCCGTAAACCCTCAACACCCAAACCCTCTGAACCTCAAACCCCTCAACCCCTAAGCCCCCTAAACCCCTAAACCCCCTAAACCCCCCAAAAACCCAAAACCCCCTAAGCCCAAACCCCAAAACCCAACAACCAAACCCTAAACCTGCAATCTGTTTGGGTCATGGGCCAAGTCTCAGAGGCGGC